TCTATAATGAACTGTTGGTCAGTGAAGTAAACTTTTCCATCTGTTGTCTCGAAAGCTCCTTCAGACTTCAATATTTTATTTGTGAGAGTCTGTTTCTTTTTTGAGATACTTGCCGTTCCATTTCTATGAAAAGTGACTTTGTAGTTAGGGTTTGTATTTCCAGACCTGGCACTTTCTATTATTGAATTTTTCTCTTCATCGGTAAGTTCTTTGACAGGTTTTGACAATGGTTCTGAACTTTTTGTTTGTTGTGGTCAAATCTACCGTTCAACTTCTTCGGTCATTTCATCTCAGTAAAAAATTTATGTTTGTTTTTCAACTGGTTGTTTAGGTTTTTTAAGTCGGTCTAAAACTTCCTGAGGTATAGGAAGAACTTGACAAACACGTGGTGTAACTGCTGGAAGTCGACAAATCCATCTTGAACCCATTTGTCTCAATGCTGTATTGTTCATTTCATCTCAGTAAAAAATTTTACATTCCCCACGTTTGAGGCGGTTGCGGTTGGTTATTGTTTACCCATTGTTGTGCGGTTATATCCTCTGTTAAAGAATCTTTCACCTTGGTCCATATAGTGTCCTGCTTGGTTATAGTAGTCATTTGCTTTGTTATAATAGTTTCCTGCTTGTCTTCCTACATTGTCCATCCATCCTTGAACTTTTCCTCTTGTTTCAGGATTTGGAATAAGATTTGCTGCATCTCGTGCTACATCCCAACCTTTCTGTACAGTTTGTATAATAGGTTGTGCTTTCTCTTTAAGTATACCTAATGTACTCAAAATCTTCCTTCCAACTCCAAATACACCTCTGGCTATTGTTCCCACTGCGGGCAAAAATCTGGATGCAACTCCTGCTAATGCGCCAAATAACCCATTTCTTATGGGTAAAAAATGACGAATCCAAACAAGGACCCTATGTTTCTAAAGCGACAAAGAAAGCACTCATGATAAAAATCTTTAGTTCAACACCAAATGCTTGGTTTATGGATATCTTGGAAAACATTCCGAGGTATAGAGAAGATGGACCACCATACTGGCTAATATTTGTCGGTCAAAACACAAGATACTGTGAAGCCATACCATTACAGTCCAAAAATATTTTAGATGTGAAAACTGCTTTGACAATATTCGTTGACAAATACCATCCAACAAAACTGACATCTGACTGTGAAAGTTCTTTCAAATCAGATGATATTAAAAACTATCTGCGTTCAAAAAATGTAAACCAATATTTCATTGTCGACCAAAACCATTCTGCTCTTGGTGTCATTGACAGTTGTATAAAAATCTTAAGAGACTTAAACCAACCACAAGGTGGTGAAGCAAATGAAATGTCATATGACGACAAATATAGACACTTCTCCATGGCAAAGATGAGACAAGTTTTAAATATTTACAATAGCCGTAAACAAAAAGGTTTGGGAAACCACTCCCCCGAAGAAATGAAAAACAACCCTGACTTAGAGAAAGACTATATATTTAATAATTTAGTCAAAAGAGACAAACAAGAAAGAATGCCGGGCTTCAAACTTCAGAAAGGTGACAAAGTAAAAATAGAAATACCTAAACGCGACCCATATGAAAATACTATTGACTATGACAACAATGGGAACCCGACAGGTACTCACATTCGTGTTCGTAAAAATAGAAGAAAGTATACAAGAGAATATTATGAAGTTTTAGGCAAACATGGCAAAATGTACAGACTGCAAGCAGAAGATAAAACGACTATTGTCAGACCTCGTTTCAAACTTGTCAAAGTTCAAGGTGGTATACTTTCAAAGACAGTTCCTAACAAATATAAGACAACTCCTGACGAATATGCTAAAGAAGTTGAAAATGACGACTAAGCGTTTCTATACCATGCGTAAACTGTCATGTAAGGTGGCATGTAGTCTTTACTTTGTCCCGTTGTTTGCGTATACCCTGAAACGCGATGTGTATGGTTTCCTTCTCCCTGAGTGTCATCCCAGTAACAATTTATAGCAAACTTAACGTCGTCTTTAACATCATATCCTTGACCTTTTGTCATTCCTGACCAATCCCAATATCTATGCTTATGCCAACCTGCTTGAGATGTAGTTAAATTTATGTAATGACTGTGTGCAGGTAAGTTTTCACCTGAAATCGTTTTACTTCCACCTGTTTCCTTTGAAGAGTTTGCACAATACAAAAACCTGTCGACTATTTGAGTCCAAGTTCCGAGACCAAGTACTACTTCTGGTCTGGTAGAGTTCATTGACGTATAAATAGAACCTATAGGATATACTGTTTGAAGTATTTCTGTCTTTAATGTTTGAAGCTCTGTTTTGTCTGCTTTCTTGTCATATAAATCTTGAGCAGTGAATTTAACTTTATTTTCATCCTCCATGACAAAAACATTTCTACATCTAATTTCTTTCTTCGTTGTTATGTCGTCATCCGATGTTAAACCTTGTGGAAAGTTAGGAGGTTTCCAATACAATACATCCCCACCAGCTCCTTCAACCGTTCCTTCAATATTTTCTATACCAACAGTTGCGAAGAAATCGTGTGTATGGTTCTTATCTGCTTTCTTTTCAAGGCTAACGTTTAAGTCTGTT